TGACACCACAATACATTTTCATTGCCTTAGCAGAGCTTACAGAAGATTGTGTTGTAGGATTTACCTCAAATTGAGTAGGAGCCACTTCAGGTTGAGTAGGAATCACTTCTGGTTGAGTAGAAGTTACCTCAGGTTGAATAAGAGTCGCTTCAGGTTGTGCAACAGCTGGAGTCTTTGTCTTTTTACTTGGGCCTCCTTTTTCGGTAGTCCCTTTTGGCCTGCCCTGTAACCAAAGAGATTTGAAACAAGTCATTGTAAATAACAAATGAAACTATAAATTGAACTGTATTACTAAATAAATGTTACTAACCCTCTTCTTTGGTCCTGTCTCCATAGATGGAGTTTGGCTTCCTTGAGTTGGTGTTTCAACATCTCTTTGCAATTCACCAGGAACAATTGCAAGTTGTTTATTTTTCTTACATGTTCTTGTATTGTGCACACACACACACACACACACACACACACACACACACATATATATATATATATATATATATATATATATATATATATATATATATATATATATATATATATATATATATATATATATATATATATATATATATATATATATATATATATATATATATATATATATATATATATATATATATATATATATATATATATATATATATATATATATATATATATATATTCTAAGAATTTATTGCACCCATGGATTGTGTTTATCCTTTGCCATCTTGTTTGGGATGCGTCATCTGGCTCTCTTCTACGAAGTTTCTTTGGTCTCCCTGGACCTCTCTTGAAACTAAGTGGCAATATTTCAGGATCAACAGTCCTTGGCCATTTGTTTTGGACATTTATGGGAGTGATAACTTCATTGTAACATGATACATAAGTAGTCCTATAATAACACTTTTTTAAATACTTAATGGGATCATCAACCTTCCTATGTATGGCAGCAACAACATGTTTACATGGGATCCCAACCAAGTCCCAAAAGTTACATGAACAAATATGTTTTGCCAAGTCTACAAAAAAAATATCTGTGAACATGACATGTGTTACTTGAAATGTTAATTTACCTGCATATATTGGCAACCAATTTGCACTTTTTCTCTCTCTCTCTCTATATATATATATATAATCTCCTAAGTGGTTTAGACATGATCTCCCCTTTGTAATTTTCTACCTTGTCCCTAAGAGTGGAAAAACTACCCATTAGATAATAGGTTTATCCCTTTACATCAAAATAGTTGCATTAAATGATTCAATAAGATTGTTAATCAAAATATCATACTTAGAGTAAAAAGGAAATGCATGCTTACACCACTTATGTTTGGGCATAACATTTAGCCATTCAAAAGCTTCTAAATTCACCTCCTTAATCTGATTCATCTTATCTTCATGTGCTTCAAAAAAGGTTGCCTTTACTGTAGACATAATGAGATCTATGTACAATGTACCACCTCAAAATTTCTTCTTGAAGTTGCCTTAGGCAAAACCTGTTTTCAAACTCAGGATATTCTTCCTCAAATACCTGAACCAGTCCATGTACACATAATAACACAAGTATCAACTAGAAGTAACTTAACACATAATAACACAAATGTCAACTAGAAGTAACATATACCTTTTGTTGATTAGACATGAAACACCACCTACTATCACAACCAATGTCATCAAGAAGTAACTAAACAAACCAGCTCTAAGAGTCACTGGTTTCATTCTCTACAACCCCAAAGGCAAGTAGAAGATACTGGTCATTGGCATCCCTACCAATAGCAATCAACAAGATTCCACCATATTTATTTTTTAGGTGACATCCATCTAACCCTATGAATGGTTTATATCCAACCTTCAATGCTTTCGTTATAGCATCAAAACACATGTAGCACCTTTAAAACCTTTGTGGCAAGCCAAAAATGTTTAACTTGAATGTGTTTCCTTTTGATGCCCTCTTCAATCCAGCTCCATATGACCATATCATGCTATATTTCTTGGCCAAGTCCTCTTCAACAACCTTTCTATCTAGTTTACTAGCTTTGAAAGCCCTACATCCAGTGATTTTTATAGCAAATCTAAGTTTTACATTTGCTACAGCTTCATTCAATTTCATACCTGAATTGTTCTTCAACTTGTCTACAATCACTCTAGATACTCAGTTAGCATTAGCATTTTTGTTGAAGAACTTTCTTCCACATTTGTGCTTCTGAAACAGAGATTTGATCCTAAATGATATAGTTCTTAAAACTTTGCTGCATAGAATAATGTAGTCACATTGTTATTTGTTCTTACAAACAACCCTACACCTTTTGAAAGTGTATACCATCCAAAAAGTCTTCAAATGATTTGTTTTCCTTAGCACCTTCGTTTTCCTCAACATATCCATGCCCTTTTTGTTTCTTTATTAACCTCTCCATATAAGTCTTCTCACCACTTGATAATCTTGCCTCTGTATATACCTCAACATCACACTTACTCTTTTCAACATACAAAGCTAACATTGTTGCATCCTCATCATTAACAAAGGGTTTTAGATCCTTTTCAAGATAACCATGTTAAAGGAAAAGTCCATCCCCCTAATTAAGTCATAGGCTTCAAAGTATGACAAAAAATCAGAGTCTTGCCCACTTATAGCATAAACATCTCCACCTTCATATCTTAACCTTACATCCTTTACAAATGACCCATTGGTATAAAAAAAACCTTAAATAACCTCACATCATGTACATTATAAATATGAACGAGGGTAAATCAGACATTACATTCATAGTCAAAGCAAAAACCATAAATGTTTACAGTTAACACAAAAAACAAACATGTATGGTTTTCAAGGCAAGTGGGGCACATAACATACATACAATATTCGAAAGCATTACAAAAAAGGAAGTAGGGCACATAACATACATACAATATTCAAAAGCATTACACCATAGCACATGTGAGACTAACATTAATGTTAGGATCGCAACAACCAATGTAAGCTTCGTCAATGTTGGGACCATAAGATATGAAATTCGAAGTCGTTGGGACCACATCCTGCTTCAGTGCGTCTTCAGGCATCTTCAATTGAGTTTTATATTTAGGACCACAAGTACGACAGACAAAATGGAATATAGTGAAAGGGAAATGAATTAGGGATTTACTGGTGATTAGGATTTTTTATAAAGATGAAGCCATGTAAGCATCCACACGTCATGCCACCTAAATAAATGAAATACATTTTAGTAAAAAAATTAATTATTTAATCCACTTGTCTTGCCACGTAAGAAACCGTTAGTTGTAATTGACATTAGGGACCAATTGTTCAGATGGAAAATTTTGAAGAGAAGATTTCTTAAAGGAAAATTTTGGAGGGACTAAAAACGAAATCTGCAATATTTAGAGGGACCAAAAACTTATTTATCTCCTATAATAGTAGTATATTGACTATAACTCTAAAGGGTACCACAATGCGAGATGTACTAAGACGAAAAACAACCTCGCTTATATCGTTTTTGACCGATCCCTATTGGTGACTTCACTCGTCTAGAAAATAAATAAGAATTAAAGTTCGACTTAGTCACTCTCTCGTTGTTTTGATTAAAGAATTGAATAAGAAGAGTTACTATGTGTATTTGCCAGATCCTCCATTAACAAACATCACTAACTAAGAGTTGCATATTTGCTTCTCTTTCTTTTCTGATCTTTTTGGAAGGTAAAGGTGAACTCGGATGGGTATGCCAAGGGGTGAGGCTGGATAAAATCATTAGAGATATTCGTGGGGATAGTTTCTTTTAATGCTTTCTAATACAAATCTGTTACATACTTAAGCAAGGTAGTTTTTCTTTTTATAAAATAATAGTATTAGTTTTAATTAATTAATTAAAAAAATTTCATTTCTTATATAAAACATTGTTTATTTTAAATTGTCAAATAAAAGTATTATAATTTTATCTTTACTCTTAATTTTACCTTAAATTTAAATTTATAATTTTAATTTTATAACATTGTTTTAATTTTTTTCTCATAATTTTATAAAAATAAATTTAATATAAATAAAATATTAATATATGAGATAAGGTTGTAGAATTTAATATAAATTTTTTAAAATTATATTATTTAAATTAAAATTAAATAAGTTATTTCAAGATGATGTGGTTCATAACATGTCACATAAAAAAATCAAAAAACAAAAAATGTCACCATGTAAAACATAAAAGAAAAATAGTAATGTAAAAAAAAAATTAGAAAAGAAAATGGCAATAACAATTTTCTTCTTTTTTCAATAACAAAATTTTAATTACACTTCTCATTATTCAACGCATTTTTTTATATTTGATAATAAGATAATAATCCATTGTTTCTCAATAAATTTTATTTTTTAGATAATTGTTAGATTTTGATATTTAATGATATTAACTGTACGTAATTATAACACTCATTGAATTCTTATATATTTACCTTAAAAGGTTGAGTAAATTATCCGTAAAATAAATTAAAGTAAATTGTATTAGAAACCTACGCGGTTTAAACTATTAAAAACTATAATATCAATAACAATAATCTTTCGTTTGATTAATTGGTCATTCGTAGCGATTATGAAGCATTAAAAATAAATTTCTTTTTAAATTCGAAACGTTCAAAATTGATGATATAGGCTGGCATGTTAAAGTTTTAGTAGGCAAAATTTTTACTCCAACACTGATTTTCTTTCTTTTTGTATGGATCTATTAAGATTTATTAGATAGATCGGATATTGGATCGGGAATTCCTCTTCTTTTATTTTTGTTGCCATGTTGTATCTGTTTTGTTGAAAAACACAGTTTGTGTTCTCCTTTAATATACTTGCCTTTAGAATAAATAAATAAAAACTGTAATATATTTGTATCAATAAATTATTAACAAAAAAAAGGAGAATACATGTCAAAATATTACCAAAAAAAAAAAAAGAGTACGTGTCAATGCGAGTCAATCTTGAGTCTATAATCTATACGGCATTGAAAAATATCTTACTGAAAGAATTTTAGCAGTAGCTAAGTTGCTTAATAATGGTTACCATGGCAAGTTCATGCTCAATTCTTTCTCCGCATATAGCCTTGCAACGCATTCGCATTCCACGCATATTCAACTATAACTACACGTGTAACTTTCCCAAAGCCACAACGACCGTAACCGTTTCCCATCAATTTTCCTCTTTCGGTTTTCCCGGTAAATCTCCGCGTGACACCACCGCCGTCATCGCCACTTCATCCACTGACGACAGCGGCGTCACGTCTCAAGATCTCGCAGTTTTTCTCGAAGTCCATGGGTGAATTTTCGCTTTTCTTCCTTATTTGAACAATTTCGTTTCAGTCTCACTCTGCTGAACTTGTTTGAACTGTTGTGTTTGTTAATTGTTTTTTAATTTTTGGTTTTTTTAGGGTTCTTGTGGATGCAGGTGTAGGGAATCGCATAGCCTTCAATAAAGGTATGAACAGTTATACTGTGCTCAGTGCTCATCTATAACTCCATATTCTCTGTATGTTATATGTTATTTACTTATTTATTCTGTTTTCATGAAGTGTAATGAGCTGTTGTTTTTCGATTTCGATCCCGTACTTGCAGCATTTGAGAAACTTGGACTTGATTGTGCGAGCTGGAGCGAACCTGTCTATTCAGATCTTTTAAGGTGTGTGTTTTTTTTTTTTGTTATTTATTATATTATTTTCTTGCCTATGCATGTGTTCTAATGGAGAAGGTGATGACACACTTAGATTTCGTGAGTTAGTGTTAATCAATGCATTGAATTTCATTGAAGTCTAAGTTTGGTAAGGATTTGGATTTTGTGCATTCATGCAGTCATGGATCTCAGCTGTGAGATGAAGATAAGATAGCTTGAATTATGATTTTACCAAATTGGCTTTAAAATATACATTTCGTAATTCAAGTTGTGTGATCTTCAACTAACGCTTGAAATCCCTACATTGCATTTCCTGACTACAAGGAATCTGAATTGGTAAGGTAATTTAATAGTGAAACATCTTTAGTATTGAATCAACGAGTAATAGAGATTTACATGAAAAAATACCTAGGTTGCTTCACTTGTTTGTAAACCATTTTCTAATGACTTTTCAGAAGAAGCATTGGAGATGAGGAAAAAATGCTATTCTTGTATTTTAATCGAGTAAGCTGTTCATCTTTTGTCTGATGTACGGGGGAGAAAGCATTTTTATTGATAGTTTTTGGTTGTTTTCTTCTTTGCAAACATTAATTACGTCATATTCTGCTGTCATTGTCTTTAACAGATTGGGTGGCCTTCGTCATTACCCACAAATGAGAAGGGACTCTTCACAAAAAGTGTTTTACTGGAAAAGGTGAACGTTCTTACACTTGGTCTTAATGAATTGTATACTTCTAATGTTTAATGTTTATTCAAAAAAAAAATCAATGTGATTTTACTTTGGCCTATGAGGACCGGGAGGCAAATTACGTGTACTTAATTAATGTGATTTTACTTAAACCGTGAATGCGCTCTTTATAATGATAATCCATTACTATAGTTTTGGTGTATAAATGCCCAACTAATATCACCTATTTGGAAATTTACATTGTGCATTTATATCCTTTATACACTCCAAAACTATAGAAGTTAGAGAAGCCTTTTACTTTTGCTATTTCAAATATTTAATGGAGTATTTTGTTGTTAGACAGAAAAGTTTGTCCATTGTTGACCAGTTTGATAAAAAAAAAAGTTATGTTATTTTTGTTTAGAAATTTAAATCGACCTTTTCACCTGCAACAATTAATTTGAAAATATATTGTACTTAGATGATTAGTTTGTTTGAAGCTTCTATTTAGAGTTGATAATATATGCAGACTTAGAAATGAAGACAGCTACACCAAAACAACCTAATCATGAGTTTCCCTTTAATATTACTCCCTCCGTTTCAAAATGACTGTCGTTTAAGGTTTTTGCACACAGATTAAGGAATGCAATGATATTGTTATAAGATATTGCACTTTTACTAAATTAATCTTATTAATGTGTTGAAAATAGTGTACAGAGTAATAATCATATGACACAATTGGAAAAATAGCAATTATTACTATATTGAAAAGTGAGAATGACATTCATTTTGAAACAAATTTTTTTTCCTAAAATGACAGTCATTTTGAAACGGAGGGAGTATTACACATGTTTTTTTTTTTTATGGAAAAGCACTTTTTAATGGCCAACTAGTTTCATGTACCTAAGCAAACAAAGGAAGTGCTATGAGGAAGACTGGCTTAAGAAATAGAGATCATGAATATGGATATTAGTAGTAGAATCAAATCATTTTGACTGCTTAATGTGGAAACAAAACACCTTATTTTCAGATGTGGGGCAGGTCATATAAATTTGGATTAGATATAGACCTGTAAGAACGAATCATTTTGACTAGACATCTTACATTGGTTTTCAAGATGAACCCTGAACTTCGAGGGAAGAAAATCAGGCTGAAGAATTTTGATTATGGATTCTTTTTGGTCGTACAACTGTGTTGGAATTTTCCATTGAAGTTGTAACTGATGTCGACTATGGAACTTTAATATTCTAAGAAATGTTATATTGCTATTTATGATCCGGGTAATTGTATATATTCATGATTAATCCTTTGATGTGTGTTCTAGGAAATGCTTTATTCCTATTTATGATTCGTGTAATTGTATATTCATAATTAATCCTTTGTGTGTTGTTTATATCCCAATAACCTATTTTTTCTTTTACTCCCATTGATAATAAGATGGCTTTAAAGTGAGATGACAAGAACTTGTTAACCATCCTATTTAAATCTTTATCACAAATTGGCAGGAAAAAGCTTTGGAAGAGTTTGTGACCTCAAAGAGTCTACCTCTACGGCCTGGTGTTGAACAGTGAGTTATCTATCATTCTTTGAATATGATTTTCTACGAGTTGTGTGTTGTATTTGTTGTGTTATTTAATATGAATCTACAACACATTATATGTTGTTAAACTCGGCCGTTCCGGCAGTTATCTTGGCACGGAACAACAAAATCAAGAAAACCGTGTCAGGCCGTGCTACATATGGGTGACTCGGCTGAAACGATCACAATAATAGGATTGGATTCAGAACGACACCGAGTCAGAGCGGCCGCTCCGGCCCCTTACATTTTTTAAGGATAATAAGGTTATTTTATTTGCATTTGCAAATGTGTTTTGCTCAATGCCCAAGACTTCTTACTTTTATTTCTAAATATGAATACTTCATGAATTTTGATTAACTTATTAATAATTATGTGTTCATTAATATTAACTATATTAGTATCCGCCTCACTAAAATATCGGCCGTTCCGCTTTGCACTCCCATTCCGTTCCATTTCTAAAGATGGTCGTGCGGTGCCGCGTTCTTAGATTGATAACACAGACATACCCATTACCTCCTAATCATTGAACTCGTGACTAGGGGTCACATGATTGAGTTGCGGAATCAGTTTCTTGCAAATACAAGGTAAATTAAGTATATAATAATAGAATATTAATTGGCCTGGCTCTTCCTTGGACCCAGCCTTAAAAGAGCTTTATGGCACCAAGTTGTCCTTTATTTATGGGGATCTATCTCTTAAAAGGAGCTGTATTTTTAGGAAAAGTTAGGGGAACAATATGTACATTAGTTAAAGAGAAATTTCAAGGGTTCTTGAATGCATCACCAAGACATCTTCTATGAGTCTCAAGGATCAACTAGCGGGCATTTTTATGAAAACCTTGTGGAGTCCTAGGATGGCATACTTATGTAGCAAGAGGATGCAAATGGCATATACTCCACCTAGAAGAGTGTTGATTATAATTCATATATCCATGATTTGTCTACTTCCCTTTTATTCTTTGATATGTTAGTTTCCATAGTTAGAATAGATATCATAGTCATTATCCTTTTCAACCCTAAATTCCAAGGATTCTTTGAATCTGTAAATTGTGTAAATACCTACATATACATGCACTGTACTGTTATCTCACATTAGTTAGTAATAATATCAGAGTTTTCTGGTATTTCAAATCATATCAAGACATCTTTTACATAGTGGTTATTTTCTTAGTCAAATTATCATTTTGCTGGAGCTTATTTCACAATTTTGGTATAGATTTTGGCCTTAGAATCATTTGGTATAGGTTTTTGTCTTAGGATTTTGTTTGGTGCTTTTTTATTAGTAAATTTGGATGGGAGGTTGGAGACTTGGAGAGCCTTAGAAGCATATGGCTTTCGCACGAGGGGAAGCAAAATAGAGTATTTTGAATGTAATTTTAGCAAAAGGTTAAGTGTTTCTAGTTTAGTGGTGAAAATTGGAGATCATATCATACCACAAGTTACGCAGTTTAAATATCTTAGGTTCATAGGACAAACGATGGAAAATAGAAGGGGATGTAAACCATTGAATTCAAGTTGGATGATTGTTTTATGTGATAAGAAAGTACCACTCAAAGTGAAGGAAATTTTTTATCCGACAACTGTAAGCCCAACTATGTTGTACAGGATTAAATGTTCGGCAGTAAAGAACCAACACGAAAACAAATTAAGTGTAGCAGAGCCGAGGATATTGCGTTGGATGTGTGGTACGACTGGACGGGTAAAATAATAATCACAACGCTAAAGAGAGAGTTGGGGTAGCACATATAGTAGAAAAGATGGTGGCAAATAGGCTTAGGTAGAAGAATGTAGGGTAGTCAAACCACTCAAGGTAGAAAGAATGCCCAAAAAAAACTATAAGTAATTAAGAAAGATCTCAAGATTAATGAGTTGGATGAAGCATGATATTAAATAAAACATTATGGCATCGTTTGATCCATGTACCTGACCCTGCTTAGTGAGATAAGGCTTGGTTGTTGTTGTTATTGTTGTTGTCATTGTCATCTTCTTACTGAAGTTTAGAATTGGTAGTTGGTCTTCTATTCATTTTCAGAAGCTTTCAGGTTATGGAAGTCTCATTTTATGATGCTTCTCATTGTCTTCATTGCTTCTTAATATCGAACTATGTTCCAATTGCGCATATTGAACTTTAATCTATTATTATTTCTCAGCAGAGTAACATCTCCATTAACAGGTTTATTGATGATGCATACAATGAAGGAATTCCAGTGGTAGTATTAACAGCCTACACTAAAAGTGGTGATAATATTGTGAGGTACTTCTATTTAGTTTTGAAACTTTGCAATATTATAGGACTAATTAAGCCAATGTTATGGTGGAGGGGATGAATGCGCTTGGGTTTGTTTTGCATAAATTTAGAGTGATATGTACACCCTGCCATTCGTTGTCCTCTCTCTCTCTCATTCATAAAATAAATCTTATTTTATATAACTACAAGAAAATTGAATATAACAGATATTCTTTGAGCTCTAAAAAAACTTCAATATTTATGAGGTTCACAATCCACTATTTTTATTTTTTGCTCTTTGCCTGTTTAGCTTCCCAGTGTAGTTTCCTGGGGAGAACGCGAGCACACTAATATTTATTTCTTTTTGCCATGTTTACCAAAACTTTTAGGAGCATATTAGAAAAGCTTGGTAATGATCGAAGCAAAAAGGTGATTATTGTGGGGATTAAGGAGGCTGAGCAAAGTTTATATGGCCAACTTATCTCAGGAAAGGTGATTGCTTATGGTTTGGATGAAGAGCTTGCCAAGGAAGCCACAAGAGCGGGTATATACTTCTTGAGTTGCTCATTTTGTAGGTGTACCTCATGCATGCATATAATTCACTTTGTTGTTTGCTGTGGTGCTTTGTATTCCTGCCATTTTGTCTAGCTTCTGCTGAGAAACAAAGACTGGCAAAGGAGGTAGCATCCATGCTAAATTTGAGTGTTGCGATTGATACTGGTTTATCTGAAAGGTTAGTTCCTTTCACTGGACTTATTTTTGCACAAAATAAGATTTCATTGTTCTCTTCATTATTATTTTTGTAGTGCATAGTGTTACGATAAATATTCATTCCCTTAAGTGAGCTAAATTATGGCTCACTACATTGTACAAAGTGATAATGTCCAAGATAAGATAATTGGGGACAACTTACAGTTGATCTTGGACAAGGCAAGCCAAATAACTACGGACGGGGAACTAAAAATCTTGAAAGAATTTTTTAGAGGCAGTGGATAGAAAGTGTTCCTTCAGATTTATGTAATCATTGTGCTTTGTCAGCTTTTTATAAACTTTCCGTGTTTGATTTTAAATTTACTTCGTAAATTTGAATAACAGTTAAAAATTGTGTTTTCTTAAATCTGATTTATTTGCATAGGCATATTGAAATATCTTTCTCTGTCATCTCATAGCTATTCTAAAACACTTTTTGAGATCACCTGAATAAGAAGTAACGAACATATATTAGCATTTGACAGCTATCAATTAAGAAATGAATGATTGATTGATCTGGATTTCAATAACATAGTCAATACTAATGTTTTAGTCAAATATTATTCAATTCTAGAGAGAGTTTGTTAGAATTCATTTTGTATTTATAAAATGATCTGAAAAGTTTGTTACAATATGATTACTCAGTCCCTTGTATATAAGGCTGAGTGGCTAACTAATTATCTAAGCAATGGACAGCTGTGACTTACAGCTTTCACAAGAAGCTAACTAGTAAAGTAAAAACAGAATAGAGTAAGTGGAATTTTATTTCTCCTACAAATATAATTTAATCTGTTGATCATCTGTCCAGTCTAGATAAGATTGTGACTGCGCTACATGCGGGAGCCGAATGTGCGGGGCTACCTATCTGCAACTGTGTCCTTGTTGCAGGAAGCCAATCTGGAGCAGTTGGAGCTGAACGGGTGGGTATGCCGTGCGTTGTTCTACGAAGCAGGTGATTGCTTTGTTCTTAGAAGTTCAATGAACGAATTCAATAAACTTGTCTGTTGTAGATATAAACAGAACTTCCTTAACATCAACAGAATTCTGACTTGTTTATTTTTTGAAATGGTATAAATGTTTCTTATTTTTAATTGTTTCCTGTAGTTTGACATCTAGAGCCGAGTTCCCGTTAGCAATTGCCACTATGGATGGGTTTGGAGGTGGAGATCTGACCATTTCAAAATTACGCAATCTATGCCAGAAGAAACAACCAAAGGATTGAATGGTAATTTTCGTAAGCTACAATTTTAATTGTTTATTGTTTAACAGGCTCTTTTACATGAATCTAACTTGCGATGTTGCTGAATAATTTCCCTTATATTATCATGTGCCAGAGTTTTGTATCAATTACCCGCAAGAAATTCAAAATAAGAACCAAGTATCCACTTGCTCTGGATTTGAAGCTGGCAAGCAAAAGGAACATGCCTCTAGAAAGGGAGTGTAAGATAGTGTCTTCAGACACAATTTTTACTGGTACGATAATTCCTATCATTTCGTATTGATATTTTGTGCTTCATTAGCAAATCCACATTATAGGATGAAGCAAACTATAATAATTTATCATGTGACTTTTGCTTTGGTAACTGATATCTACCTTTCAACAGCCTAAGAAAAAACTATTCTTATGAGTCATTTTGGCTGTGAAAAAGCTTTAACTGCAGTTGCTGAGTAAATATCATTGTAATCTGATGTGATGCTGTTATTTGAACAGAGCTGAGATAATTATGTATTTCTCAGTTTAACACCTGAATGTGGCACCTTGATGAGTTAAAAATTAAATGTGGAGCTTAGTCTGTTATTTTTTAAAATAATGAATTGATTTTGATAAAAAAAATAAATTAAATGTAAAGTGACTTATATTTAGGCTGGTGCCGTGCGGCCTTGTTTGATAATAGGATTTCAATGTTTATATGAATGTTAATCGTCATGCACCATCAACATCTATTTCATGCCTTTTTGCTCTCAATCCTTCTTCACCCTGACTCTCCTTTCTCTTTCCTCCCTCGCCTATCCATCTTTATTACACAACGGCACCAACCTTTGTCTCTCCCTTTACGATCTCCATCTTATTCTCGCCGACCAGATCTAGCCAACATTTGACATGCTCTTGTTTCTTGTTTGCATGTGCACGATTAATAATAAGTTTTACTGGTGGTTCAATGATGTTGAGGGTTTACCTAAAATACTTGATAGTCATCTCCTTCAATGCATTCCGATACTTGTAGGTAAATCCATGTTGATAATACCTACAATAAAATTCAAAAATAATTCCTTTCATAAAGTTAGTTTCAGGAATAAATCATCATTTGATACATTTCTTGATAGTTATAGATAAAATGGATTTCAAGTTGTTTGCATGAGCTCGGTGATATGCAGGTGAAGGCTGAAAGAATGAAGGCTTCGCAATTGCTCTGTGCAGTGTGCAGAGAGGGATGTGACGGAATAGATGCTAGGGAAGGAATCCGAGATTATCTCTATGTACTCGAGCAAGGAATGTAACTTCTTATAATGTAACTTCTTATAAATAACCGATTGCAAAGAGTAATAAAGGTGTTATGAAATGCAGAGAAAGAAGAGGATATTTGTGAATTGTATGATGTACTTCTCTACATGGGGACTCTTTTCTCCACATCACCAATTCTAACAAACGGTTAGATGCAATAAAAATTCAATAGAAAACAACTAACTGGGAATGACTTGTTTATTCTTTGTGAAATGCAGTAAAATAAATAGGAAACAAAATGAACGTGCAATAGCAAGTTACAACCCACCTCTAGCTAAAAATAAGGAACAAACTTGACTTAATCAATTCAACAAACTATCCTAAAAACTAGGTCTCTTATTTGACTAAATACTTATCATTCTCTCCCTTAAACTAGACTGCATTTGCAGCTAGTTAACATGTGGTAGTTCACACACTCCAAGCCTTTTTCTTAGCTTCCGAAATAGCTCCAATTTGAGCGGTTTGGTGAAAATGTCGGCTATCTGCTGCCTTGTACCACAAAACTGAAGTTGCACGACTCCATCATTCACTAGTTCTCGTAAGAAATGGTAGTGCACATCAATGTGCTTGCTCCTGCCGTGCATCACCGAATTTCTTGCCAACTTAATTGTCGAGCTATTGTCATAAAAGATGACAGTACTCTCACTGCCCATGTAGCCAATCTTCTTTAGCACCCTTTGCATCCATACTGCTTGACAACTACTTCCTGCAGCTGCAATAAATTCAGCTTCGGTTGTGCTTAGTGTTACGATCGGTTGCTTTCGAGAAGACCAAGTCACAGCTGCTCCACTTAGCATAAAAACATAACCTGAGGTGCTTCTTCTATCTTCCACTGATCCAGCATAGTCGTTGTCAGTAAAACCAATCAACTCATGACTTCCTTCCCTTCTGTAAAGAATGTCGAGCGTTGATGTACCTTGCTGTCGCTACACGAAAAATACGCGCAACGACGGGGAAGGCGAAAAAGAAAAGGACATAAGAGTCGCCACCGAATTTTATTTATCCCATGAGGGGAAAGGAAAATATCGAGAAAACCTCAAGAAAAGAACGGATAAGATGGTCTCGCGACCAAGAACGGGCTCGGAAGCCGGTTATGCGAGGGGAAGGTATTAGCACCATTCGCATCCATCGTACTCGATGGGAATCATTTGTTTGTCGAATGTGTAAACTTATTTGCTTAAACATTATGTTATAAAAGTGTTCCACGGGACAGTGAAAAAGGGTTTAGAAACGGGGAAATGAGAGATTAGGAGGAAAGAGAGAACGAACGGACTCGGTAGGACTTCGCGATCCTAGGCCTACGTATTCTCGATAGACATGAGAAAATCAGAGTCGACGTAGTTCGGGGAACTACAGATATAAGGGGGAAAGTGCTCGACAAGGATTGTGGCCCTTGTGCCTACGTATCTTTACTTGAAAAAAGTAAAGAATCAGAGCAGTCGTAGTTCGGCCTACGATTTGTTGATGTTTTTTATGGATGATGTTATCGTACGCATTCTAGCAGTTAGGTGTATTGCTGCTCGCTCGTTGGAGACTTAGGCATTACCTGTTTGCGGTAGAACGGACGTATCATATCCTTTTCGAAAGATAAGTTTTCGTCATGCGAGGCAAGATGTCACATTTGATTTGTTGAATTATTTTTTAGGGGTGAGATAGGTCCTCGGATAGTAACCCCTACGGGTAGTACCCAATTCTTTATCTCAAAGTTTTTGTTATGAAAGGGTGTGGCGAACATAGCGTCTTCGTATTGAAAGACGAGTATCAAAACCACACACACTACAGTGAGCGTCTCGACACTCAGAGAGGAAGAAGTCTACACTTAATCCTTTCTCTTTAGTTCAATACAAAGAGAACTCCATTCTCTTATTAAAGTGTTTTTTGGTTTTGAATGGTAAGTGCTTTTGCGACAGAGAACCCTACGGTAAACGTCAGCACTCGGGATAGGAGAAGGCCTACGCCTAACCACTCCACGACCATTCAAGTTTTTGTTACGAAAAGAGTTTGAAAATGCACTCGGTGTGGGACCGAGGTTTTAGGAGAAAAATGTGCGAAAGGAAGTTGCCTTCGTATTGAAAGACGAGTGTCTAAACCACCCACACTACAGTGAGCATCTCGACACTCGGAGAGGAAGAAAGTCTACACTTAATCCCCTCTTTTAGTTCCATACAAAGATGATTTATTTTAGAAAGATGGTTCGACAATGCTTGAGAAAATTCGCTTGACGTTGGGTCAAAGATTTAATTGTTTAAAAAGGTTTGAGGTGAAGCGAGCAAGGTCGATGGCGGACGCACAGGGCGACCGACTTACAAGGGTTAAAAAAGGCTCGATAAAATCGAGAGTTTGCTTTTGAAAATGGTTTTTGGAATCAAAAGTCACCAAGGACAATAGCAACATTCCTACTAAAATCATACAACATATGGGATTAGTCGGCTAAAAAAAATAATCGGGCATGCCAATGAAAACGGGAAAAAAAATTTTGAGGTTTTTTTTTTTATATTTGAAGTCATAACAAACTGCACAAAGCCAGAAATTTCTCATTTTTTGCAAGTTTTGAAGCCATGAGTCGACCATAGAGTCAGCGCATGACTTTCAGCCTTTTCCCACGGCTCGGCGCATAAACACCATGCGTCGACCATACACTCGGCGCACACCACTTTGATAGACTGACGGGTAAGCGCCCGCTGACTCATGCGTCGACGCATACTGTAAGTTTTTTCAATTTGTCTAAAAAATGCAGGCTATGCGTCGACGCATAGACCTGCTATGGTCGACCGTTAGCCTGTTAAAACAGCCAAAATCCTAACTTTTTCTACGTTTTCTTTCGTTTTCGTAGTTTCTTGGCAATGGTTTCTTGGTCCCTTATGGGACCTTATATGATATATACAGTTCAACAACACATAAAAGAGTAAACAAAATGAATATAAGAGCAAAGAAATAAAGAGAGAAAAGTTTGAGAAAATGGATACCCAAAAGTTTCTTCTTCTTGCAAGTCCTCCTTGGTTTTGGATGAATGTGCTTCACTCCTCACTCTATGTTGTGAAGGCTCTTTCTCTTTAGTGGTTTTCTTGGTTTTATCTCACTCTCTTTTTTTGGTTTGCAAAGCTTTCGCTCTTTTCTGTTTTTTAGGATTTTTGTTAGCTCTCTCTATTTTCTGGTTTTGCAAATGTGTGTAGAATTGAATCTTGAATGAATGAAGAGTGATCCCTTTTTATTTACAGCCCCCTCCTCTTATCTCTCCACTCTAGGGTTTTCACTTCTTCCCACACTTCAGATTTTTTCATGGGGCAATGTTTCTTACCACCTTTCCTTATGTCACTCTCTTTCTTTCCATTTCCATGCAAGGTGTTATGCTGTATTTTTACTGCACTACTCTATGCTGTTTTTCTGCAGCACCTTGTGCCTTGCACCCATTTTGTTGGCTTGTGCTTGGACAGCTCTTGGTCAATGCTACTACTCTTTTGACAACATTTTGAAAATTCTGATGTGTAGAAGCATTGTCACATGTTATGCCTTTGGTCTTGTGACATGTAGATTTTGTGACATGAGGAAATTTGTCACCTTTGCATGGGACTGTTTTGCCATGATTAAACATGCATAATCTTGGTCTTAAAACAATCCAATGTTGATTTAATCCTTTCATATTTCTTGGATGTTTGTAAGCATAATGTAGACTTGGTGTGGCATTACCATATCATGAATTTGACTAGAGACTTGAATGA